TTGGATACCGTATTCTGTGTGTGATATGTTTTATCCTCGTTTCCATGATTTTCCTCTCTCAGATCCGTAACGGCAGTACAGCAGACTCACCACTGATTGGCAAGTTCTGTGGAAGCACTCTGCCCAGCCCTGTCTTCCCACAATCAAACCAACTCTACTTACGCTTCAAAAGTGACTTTTCGCATTCTCGTGATGGCTTTGATGCCACATGGACATCCTCCCCTCACGGTCTGAACTGAATAAAATATCATTTTTAACCAGTTCCTATAAAATATCAAGTCATTTTTTCTTGTTGGTATAACCAACTAAACAAGATTTTTTTACTATTACTTTCACTCTTTCATACATTTGACATCCCTCCTTTAAGCTTTTAAGTCAACATGTATTTAGAATTTTAAATCCTGCTCTATTTAGGAACTATAAGATATTTTTAGTAGTAGTCACTCTGTTCATCCTGTCTTTGTTTTTTTAACTAGGTTGTGGTGGCACTCTATTTGGAGACCAAGGCTCATTCGCAAGTCCAAACTACCCTGGAACCTATCCCAATAACACCCATTGTGAATGGAGCATCATGGCACCAAGAGGCCGTGTTGTGACCATTACCTTTAACCAGATCAGTATTGATGATCCTGGAGATTGCCAGAACAACTTCTTGAAGTTGTACGATGGCCCAGACACCTCTTCACAGTTTGTTGGACCTTACTGTGGTGCGGTACGTTAAAGAGCATTATTGTAATCTTGACATAATACGGTTTTTATACATTTTACTGCATTGCATATGTCAGAAAGATTTTACGGACTTAGCGTTCCAGATTAGGTACGAGTGATCATTATCTATTCAAACCTCTGACATCTAGTGTCTGGTGTTGTCTTTGTTATGGACCTGTGTGGTATAATAATGCTATTATTTAAAGAGCATTATAAGGGCTTCACAAAATAGGTTAGGTGAGTCTGGTCAGGGTATTAACAATGTAGAAATAAACTATTAAGCATACGTTTTTCAATGGTAATGTAGTTTTAATACATCTGTAACAGAAAAAGCTATAAATTGATTACTTGGGGTAAAAAAGTCCTCATAACTGAACACTCCACTTACTGGGTCCATCATGTGGTTGTATCATTCTGTCATGAAATGCAGGGTGATAGGACCCAGACTGAGACTTTATTCTTTATTATGGCTAATATTGTCCAGATCACAAATTTATCAAAATTCCAAAAAACAGCAAGCACCAGGATAACAGTGTCAAACAAATAAGATACACATTCTCAAAACACTGTGTCTCTGTGACTTTCAAACCCCAAAAACATGTCAATGGTAACTTTATTGTCCCTAACGGGAAATTGATTTGCAGAATGTCCGTACAAACAAACAAACAGACAACCAACACATCACATACACTCACCAAAATAATATAATATAATATAAGCCTGAGAAAACAACCTAGATTTTTCATCAAAAAAGTGCAATGTGCAATGGCAACAACACTGGTTTAGTGTTATTAACTATGATAATAGCACTAGGTACAAAAATAAGTTAAAACACTGACACTGACAGACAGAGACAACCTGCTGGTCGCCGCAAGAGCAGCGCCCCTGGTGTTGCACCAAAGTAACACGTTTTGAAAGTCCATCTTTCACCAGCTGAAAAAAAATGCTGTGATTGCAGCCGTTCCCTCTTTAACTCTGACAGTTTGAATATTAACAATCACAAAACTGAGCTAATGTCTCATATTTAGGTGGTTTTGCTAGTTACAGTCATTGTGCAGCTGTACTGTTTATAAAATTAAAATAACAAAAGGTTCAGATTGAGTGTGCAGTATAAGGTAATTAGTGTACTTATTTACCTATTCATTTTGCAATAGATTATGGTGTCATGCAAAAATAATATATAATTTGACAGATCCATTTCCCATTTCATGCAGATGTTTTCTTCAGTATTTAGAGTTCTATTGTGTTCATTTCCATATAGATATAATGTTTTCTTTGAATTCTTTGTCAGAATAAAGCACAGACATTGTACTTTGGGAACTATGATTGGTAATGTGTTGTTTTTTTCCTGTTTCTTAGCTATTTAGAGTGAGTCACTGTTGATAGTTTCAGTATAAAAATGTAAATTTCTTCTATTTCTGTGTTACTTGTTCAGGAAACCAACATTGCTCCATTCACAGCCACTGCCCACCAAGTCTACGTTGTTTTCCAAGGCCAGTACTCCACCCTACCTTCAGGATTCAGACTCACCTGGACCAGCTGAGAGGATGCTCTCTTTCTTCATCTCTGTCTCTCTCCCTCACACATACACCATTACTAAAGCTATGTTATAATGCCGTGTTATAATAAATATATAATTCAAGAAATGCAACAGTGTGCTCGGTCATTTTCATGTCAGGTGCTGCTTGTAAAGCAGAATGCTGCTGCATCACCCTCACTCACCTGCTGATGAGTTCAATGTCACAAACCACACTTATTCTTTGACATGGTGACAAATAAAGGTGTCAATCAAATCAACATGCTTTAAACATTAATAATGACAGATTTGCGTATTATATTTGTTTTATTGGTTCTCATATTTTAGCAGTGATAGAGATGTTTGTCTAGATGTTTATTGGAAAACTTAAGACAGGCCTGTGCATGTGGCCCTTTGAGAAGAGGGATCTTGCAAGCACTTCAACATTTCAGTCCATAATGGCACAGTTTTTGGCTGATCTCATGATCATCATTACCCTGTGAGGCAAGGTCTTGCACAGATCTCCAGACAAATTGTCATGGTTTGCTGTGGGGCCGGCAGGATGTAGGACCCAAAAGCAAGACTCGTGGACAATGAAGGAGTGAACTAAAGAAGGCAGCTTTATTTTGACTGTAAATGATTCTTCATACAGAAAACAAAACCTGAAAGCGAGGAACTAGAAATTCAAACTAAACTACTAAATACTGAGGGCTAAAATACACAGCATGACAAGAGGATGGGAAAACATAGGTGGGACTAAAACTCAAAACACTGAACACAGGACAGGGACTATCAAAGTAAAACAGGAAACACATGGCAGGCACAGAGGAACGGAGCACAGGGACAGGAGTGACATGAGACACAACTGACAGGGGAACAAGAAAATAAACATGAAGACAGAACTAAACCTACACTAAACATGAGGGGCACAGGAACACAACCCAAGAACTAGAAATCAAGGAATACTAACAGTGATGAACCATGATGAAATCAACACTTGGTCACCAACGCAGGACTGTGACACAAATGGTCATTCTACATTTCTTTTATTTCTGAATAATCGTACTAACAGTGGTCATTTTCTCACCAAGCCTCTTGTTGTGCAGGTCCCCAGTCTTGTCGCTCATGTCCATCTTAGTTTTGTAGTTTTACCCATGGTGGTGAAGAGGTTGGAATGGAACAAATTGTTTCTATGGATAGATGCTTACACATAACGAGCTGAGATCAGGAGTGTCTGCAACTGATTGATTGACTGATTGATTATAATGTAAGTGCCTGATGGGCACACAACGAATCTGTTGGGGATCGAATAGTTACACTTAATGACACGCAAATTGATTTATAACTTTTATGTAATGTGTGTTGTCTCTCTCCATTAAAATGAAACTACCACAAAACTAGAGACTTTTGTTTTGTTTTTGTAAGTGACCAAACTTAAAAATTCAGCATGGGATCAAATAATTAGCAAATGTTTAGCAAGATGAAGTAGTTTGTTGTAGGGGTGCAACGATACTCGTATCGATATTGAACCGTTCATACAGTGCTTTCGGTTCGGTACGCATATGTATCGAACAATACAAAATTTTTAATTTATTTTATCAACTTTCCTTCTGACGATGCTAATAAATAATCAATAAATGACAAATTAAAAAAGCATGAACATTTTTTTTGTATAAAAAAAATATCCAACCGTGACACCAAAGTATCAAACCTAACCAAACCGTGAATTTTGTGTATCGTTGCACCCCTAATTTTTTGCTAGTTTTAGTAAAGGAACAATGGTACTATTACTTTTTTTCTTAGGTCAGGAAGGAGCACAGAAGGGTAAAGTTGTTCATGCAACGAGCATACAAGATGCAGCACAAAAACCATGAAACTGTATTGTCAGTTTGCTTTAAAGTGGTCAATTTTGTTTTGTTAGGCAGTGGAAGAACTGGATTTCTTTTTTCTTACAAAGTTAAAATATGTCAAGAAGGCAGGTTAACATTAATCCTATAATATTTGTTATCTATACATAGTTTTAACGGCATCCACTTCACTGTTATATAAAAACTAATGTAAATCAGTGCATATCTTTAGTACTAACTCCCAAAAAATGCAGCTCTGTGTCTTTTTATTCACAAATTTTAATTGCCTTCTAGCACTTTCCAAAGTCTGCACGAATCACGTTATAATCTGCCCCATGCTGAGCCGCGACTGATGCAACACTCACTACCTGAGGGCAGTGTCATGACTCAGACGAGAGCAGACATCCAGACATCTGAGCTATCACACACTCATCATTTTAGAGTTAGTCATATGTTACACAGTGACAACTTTGTTAAAGCTCATTCAAAGATTGATAAACAGGAAAACACCTCAAAAATCATACTGTGAAAAAGATTTTTACATATATTTACATAATATACTTCAGATAAAGTGAAATGTTTCACTTTGAAATAGTTTTTAATGAATTAATTTAAATTTTAATGATAATGGGTTATAGTTCGTTATAGTAAGTTATTTCCCAAACTTCATAGACGTGGGGTTATGGTTGGGCCTCTTGTCGGCAGTCCCATTTCACTGGTCCTAACACATTTATCAGCAGAGTCAAAGGTCAGCAAAATTTTATACAAATAAACCATTAAAAAAAAAGTACACTTGACAGGTTGTGAACTGTTGTGAAAGACAAATACCTACTATTATTATATATTACCTAAGTATTATCGGCAGGCACCAAAAAAGTAATAAGCAGATGATGGTTGTGTGTGAAACATTGACAGAAATTGTAGAGGAAATATAAATAGTAAAAACACAAATGGTATAAATGGGAAATATATGTGTGTTTTGCTCACCTGTAACATTCTCAGAATTACAGAAGTGAAAAGCATTAAACTGGTGAAACAAAAGCCTGAATGATATAGTTGTACCCCCTGATAGATGGTACAGTCTGCCTGTCTAGCAATGAAGACAATGCTTTGGAGCTTCTGCAACGAAGGGGGGCAGTTAAAGGAACAGGCTGCTGTTTTAATGCAATTTAACCTTTTCCTCCTTTCAGTTTAAACTAGGAAAAACTCATTCTTCTCCTCTGCTCTTCACACTGTAATAATTCTTCTCATGTTTTACTTTTAACCCAGAGCTCTTGGACCTACAGATTCAGTGGCAGTCACTGATAGGTGTAAATGACCTGAGGGCTGAAGCAGCTTTTTGTCTTATCTTGGTAACTTCAGGGTTAACCTGGGGTTCACGACTTATTAGGGTATAATTTATGCTGCAAACCTTATCGGCTCCAGACGGTTTGAAATCACTGTCTACTGTCTAATCAGTTCCCTAGAAGATAGCGGCAGCATTCCTTGGACCTCTGTGTCCAGAGGGCCTAAAGTTTTCCAGTAGCATCATCTTTGCATTTCCTGGATGATCAGTGACCAATAGGAATTCTTAGAAACAACTTTATCATCAAACTTTTTATTTTATTGTTGTATCAACTTTACTATGCTTCAAACTATTAAACACCACCAAGGCTGCACCTTTTTTTAATTTATTAAAACATTCTCATTTATAGTCTGTCAGATTCTCTGTGTCTTAATAGGGCTAAGATTTTGTTAAGTGTGTTAACTTACATAGTTAGCCACTGTGCTATTATTGTAGCTGCCCTTTTACAGTCTCATGACCTAAGTGCACATTGATACTAAACTGCATGATTTTCATCTCACATCACTGATTTTTTGAAGAAGCTTTGTTGCTTTGATTCTGTTTAATTTATGTAACAGAAATTAAACCCTGCAGGACCCAGTAAACAACAACATCTTGTAAACAACTGCCAAAATTCAATACAAAATAAATGAAGCAAAGAGTGTTTACAGTTTCTCTTTTACTGTTTACATTAATGCTTAAAAAAGTGTACAAAAAAAGGCCCTTACCACCCTCCCCCAAAGATCAAATGGTACATCCCCCCCCCCACCCCATACAAGCCCTTTTGGGCTGAATGAATGAGAAAGGGGTTAGGGGGAGGAGTGGTGTGAGTTAGAGTCACTGTGGTGTTCAGGCACTCTGCAGCAAGCATTCCTATGAGCCACATTGATTCTACCAGTTAATTCTAGTTCTGCTGCATGGAGCAAACACTCGCGAAATAACAGCGACACTCAGATTTGACTCAAGGGTGTGAGGATGAAAGTGCTGCTGCTTTTGTTGTTGATGGGGCAAGCCGCCGCTCAGCAGAGAGGTGAGACACCTTTTTGAAAACTTTGCTGAGTTCTAACAGCTGCTTTGGATTCTTATTCTCAAGTACCTTCACAGATTCAAAAGATCTCAGAGAGGAACACTGAAAAAGGTTTTATTTTCAGGGTTACACATCTGTTTAAGCACTGTTGAACCCATCTCAGCTCTGCAGCCTGATCAGTGTGATTAAAGCTGGCTCTAATGTCGATGATTTAAGCAGAATGAACTTTTATTCTTGTTTCCCAAAGTAGTTTGACGGTAGTATTCTGCTATAGTTTAAAGTATGTTTCCCTTTCAGCTGTGTGTTACTGTTAAAACAAATCACATGTGCATCTTTGAGTCCTTGAGTCTTCATGCACTTTTGAATAGTGTAATGTAGCGAACATGGTACTGTTATCTCTGTTTTGTCTTCGGTCAGGGTCAGTTTGTTCTGATTTAAGGAACATTTATGCACACTGACCTCTTTCTGTAAAAGTTTCAGTCAGCAGACTCGAGACAAATAACTTTGGGATTAAGCTCCACTTTTCCATCAGAGGTCAAATATCTGGAAATCTGATCTGGATTAAAGGTTGAGCACCTGTGATGTCTTTATCATCATATTCATCACCCCGAATCTGTTTAGGCATGCACTTTTACTTCTCTTATCACTGGCTCATGAATGAATCAGTGGAACTGTGTGTGTGTGTGTGTGTGTGTGTGTCTGACAAAAGACAAGGAGAGGGAGAGAGATCAGGAATTAGTGTTTACAGTCACACTCTTCTCTCCTTCCTCGCTCCCCAGAGATCACCACCCCCAAACACACACAACACAACACATATAGACAAATCTCTACAACCTAAATACCTCTGTGTGTGTGTGTGTGTGTGTGTGTGTGTGTGTGTGTGTGTGTTGGGGGAAGGGTGACAGGTCATCCTGAACCTAAAATGGCTGACC